AATACCGCGAAAAAGACTCAATTTTTATAAAAGTTACTGCTGACATATCAAATCTATATTGAAAGACCCATCAGGAAGTTAATCTCAGCTAATATCAACTAGCAGTGAGGGTAGGTAAGAAAACTCGGATAGAAAATTCGATATTCTTTTAATTAACTTCCTGATTGTTGGCATTTTATAGAATATTAACTCTATGGTTTTTAATCCACCGAGTGGAATAAGCGCTAAAGACCAAATGCCCTAAATGTGTAAGCTACGGGTATCTATGCGCAAGACAGACCGCATGACCGACAGACGCATGGGACCGACAGACGCATGGACCGACAGACGCATGGCACGCAGACGCATGGACGCGACAGACGCATGGGCCGACAGACGATGGACGACAGACGCATGGGACCGGACCGGACAGACGCATGGACCGACGACAGACGCATGGAACGACGACAGACGCATGACGGCGACCGACAGACGCATGGAACGACCGACAGACCCATTGGACGAGACGACAGCGCATGGACGGACGACGACGCATGGACGGACCGACAGACGCATGGACGGACACAGACGCATGGACGCGCACGCTGGACCACGAAGCATGGAACCGGACGACAGACGCATGGAACGACGAAGACCGCATGGACGGACCGTACAGGACGCAGGACGGAAACGACAGACGCATGGACGGACCGACAGACGCATGGACGGACCGACAGACGCATGGGGCGGGAGACATGGAGCGACAGACGCCATGGACGGACGACAGCACGCATAGGAGCGAGCTGGACGGACACAGGACGCATGGACGGACGACAGAGCATGGACGACGACAGACGCATGGACGGACCGACAGACGAATGGACGGACCGACAGACGCATGGACGGACCGACAGACGCGACACGAGACGCATGACGACGACAGACGCATGGACGGACCGACAGACGCATGGACGCGACCGGACAGACCGCATGGAACGGACCGACGACGCAATGGCACGACCGACAGACGCATGGACGGACCGACAGACGCAATGACGGACGACCCAGACGCAATGACGGACTCGACAGACGCATGACGGACCGGACAGACGCATGGACGGACCGAACCAGACCGACGCGCATGGACGGACGACAGACGCAATGGACGACAAAGACCAGCGATGACGACCAGACCATGACGACGACGACCGCACTGCGACGGACGACAAGCGCTACTGGACGGACGACAGATCGCTCATGACGGACCGACAGACGCATGGACGACCGACAGACGCTATGGACGGACGACAGACGCAATGGACGGACCGACAGACGCATGGACGGACGACAGACGCATGGAAGCCGAGACGCGGACGACGACAGACAGAGAGGTTATTTGTCAAATAATTTTTTCCGTTGTCAAGCCCTACAAATTGTTTCTGGACACAACACGAAGAATTTTACTACACATAGGGACAAGATTTGTCCACTTTTCCTGAACCAGGGCGCAGCAATAACGGTTTTTTCGCCGACAATCTAGTTTTCCGGCGCAAGATTACACCACTTTCTCTTTATGCATGTAACAAATCGGCACGGGAGGTTGCGTGCAGAGAGCTCTAATATAGTTATAATTTTGTGCGGATTTTAACGATTTTGTTTTATTTTCGCTTTAGAAGAATGCCATTTAGTATTGAAATTTATTTTATGTTCTGACATAACGAAATTATCCGTTTTTGTAGTTTTTTGCGTTTTTTGTCGAATTCTACTAATAAGTCATTTTAATGCATTTTTCGCTGATTTAGTCGATTTTAATATCATTTTAATGGTACTTGCTTCAAATAATATTAACGGATGCTAGAAATGTTCTCCACAGAATTCCTTAGAAGCCTCTTCGACGTTTTTGCTCAGAAGTTCCTATGCCAGACGTAACCTAAGGTTACTATAACGCCTATTAACACTATTGTCGATTGAGCCGCTTTCGGGATAACAAAAGACAGATGTGTTCTGGTAAAGAACAGTCCAAGTGGTGAAGTAGTTCTATGAAAGATTGCACGGTGAAATGTTCATGTGATATTGTAAAGTTTGTAGACTTTGTATAGTTGTTAAGTTTTGTAATGTTAAGCTAGTGTATTCTACCACCAAGTTCTCACACTTAATTGCAGAATTATTAATAAATCTAATCTAATCTAAACCAAAAAGTTTGAAAGATGAGTTCACTTGAACGAAAGGAAGAAGCCTCTATTACATATCCAACGACCTGAGTTGTTCGTCTGAACTGGTTTTGTTCACATTTTTTACGCCCTTTTCCTTTGCTTTTAGAGCATTTTGTTGTTCATTTGCTATGTGACGTTTGAGCTCCTCCCCCTGGACCCGGTGTTGATGCGAGCGGTCGCGCGTTGCAGTGCTGCCGCTGTACTTCCTGCTGGTGGTGACGGCGCTGTACGTGCGCATCGGCCAGGAGAGCCGCGAGGCGGCCGAGCGCGCGCTGGGCGGCTTCACGCCGCCCCCCG